ACTGCTACTGCTACTGCGACTACTACGACTACGACGACGACGACGACTACTACTACTACTACTGCTACTACTACTACTACTACTACTACTACTGCTACTACCACTACCACTACTACAACTACTACCATTTCTTCTTTTTCTACTTCTTCTACTACTTCTACTACTACTACTACTACTACTACTACTACGACTGCAAAGACTCCTACTCCTACGGCTACTGCTAGTACGACTACTACTACGACGACGACTACTACTAATTGCTACTACCACGACGATGACGACTTCGGAGAGCCTTATGCGTTCGAAAAACAACGACGACAGCAACAACAACAGCAACTACTGGAAAGGCTACTACTACGACGACTACGACTACCACTCTTATTACTTGCTACCACTGCCACCACTTCTATCATGGCTCTTTGTTATCACAGTTTCCGCTTAGCCCTTCGATCAATGTGTGGCGGAAGGGCTGGGCTGCACCAGGAGTCGTCAGCGTTGTTTGGGTCAGTGCCTGAGAGCTTCGGAAAGCCTTCAGGGTGTTGGGGCTCAAGGTTTAGGTCTCAGAAGGGCTCTGAGCAAGCAAACCCTGCATCTGACACTGCAACATCTCCGGACATTCCAAGCTGGTGGTGAATTTCAGAACCGGTTGAGGCAGGTCTGCTCAAGCTGGTTTCAGTGCCACGGACGAAGACGTCTCAGTGCTGCGAACGATTAACAGTTTTGTTGCAACGTTTAACTGAAGTTGTAGCGACCCTTTGTCTCGCTACTTCGACTGCTATTTCTACTACGGCTGCTACTCCGACTACCGCGACGACGCGAACAACAAGAGCAAAAGCAAGAACGCTAGTCCTACAGTCTATCTGTGAGACAGCACGAACACCCAACAGAGAGCTCAGCTCCAAAGCCGAAATCTAAAGCCACTCATGTCGAGGGACAGCGGACGGATTCTGCTCCACATGGGCATTGCTCGCCCCAGGTAGCGCCTGGGCATCGGACCGTCGGAGCTAGTGGGAAGCTCTTCACACTATTGCCGTGGTTCTGCTGGCGCAGATATGGAAGCGAATTTCGAGAACTCCTTAAACTGAAGCTGTCCCGAGCCCCAAAGCTATTTGGTTCCCTGGGCGGTTTGAAGCGTGTTGGTTTCAGAAATTTCCACGCACTTCTCCAGCGGCAGCGCAGGTGACTCAGTAATCACTCGGCTTGATGCAATGCAAATGACTTCTAAGACTCCAAGACTCATTACACAGTGCACATCTGACAGGGACTGAACTCGTGCTCTGTGCAGGAGCAGGCTGAAGCCGTTCGGGTAAAGCGTTCTAGGCGTGAGGGTTGTTGGGTTTGGGGTTTAAAGGGTTCCGAGTTCAAGGGTTTAGGGTCCTAGGGCTTACGGCTCAAGGGTTTTTGTAACGATGTTCTGCCCCGCGGTATTGGTGATCGCAGAGGATGGCAGGTATCGACTTCAACACACTCAAGTAACAGTTACGACACTTGTGTGTGCAATCATTGGGGAGTGTACTGGTTTTGCAAATCACTGGGGGGAAGTTTGAAAGTGTGGGACGCCATTGCATTTGCGATCAGAAACTGCAAATTGCAAAAGCTGGTCAGTATGTCTTTGTGTGCGTGCGGTCACCGCGTACACCAGTGATTCGAGCCGCAAAGGACCCAGAAGGAGAACAGAGCCAAACCGAGCCTGATCCAAACCTTGACTCTGCACAACGACCACCAAGTCGGACCCCCCTTCTGCCACCAGCACAACTGCTTAACTCCGAATCGAGATAGCCTCAAGAGCCCTGAAGGCTCAGAGAGCAGAGCCTGAAGCCCTAACCTCGAGTCCTTGTCTTTGTCTGCGAACCCCCCAGCAGAATCCTTGATGACATCAACAGCATGTACACCTGGTGACTGTAGGGGCCCCAATCATGGGAGAAGGCGTTGGCGGCTTGCCTTAACTATCACAATGTGATAGTCCTATATGTTAGAAAGGACTAAGATGGGATGTTCTGTCCAATTGCTCAGGCCTCTACATATTGCATGTGGCCTTCGCAAGACCACGTAGTAAAGCCCCAATGAAAACCCCCAAAGGCCCCGACAGCAGGCCGCCTTAATAGTAAACCGCTTTCGGAATGATAAATCTTCCAAAACCCTAAAATGCTCCCCTCAAGCCCTGAGCGGCGTGCAGGACTCCGTGGTGCTCAACCAATCACCGTTCGCCGCATAGTTGTCCTCAGCGACGCAGAAAGGCAGAAGCGATCCTCTTCTTGGGAATTTTGATGAGGATTCCAGACAGCTTTGTACTGGTTTTAAGGGTTCCACTTCCGGGGCCTTCCTGAGAAGATGCTTGTATAGGAGTCTGTTGAAGTTTTCCAGGGTTTTTGCAAGGCTTTGGAAGGTTTCTTTAGGGTTTCTTCATTGGTTCTGCAAGTCTTCGACAGGGGTTCGTTCATTTTATGCGGCAGGTAGTAGATACGGTTGATCTCAGGGGCCAGCATTTGCTGAATACCTGCAAGAAAGCTATTTTGGGGGTTTCGGGTTGGCGGGTTTGAGACGATTTGGGATTTGGCTTCTAAGGGCTATCGGCAAATCGACTTGAAGTGTTTAGGCCTTGAGGTTCTCAGGCTGGCGCCCAGGCTGCAGAACTCACCAAGAGAACCACTTCAATGATCTCGAACAGCTCTATGCCTGTATAGACTCCACGGCCTCTCGCAACCACAGATCCGTCGCTCTCAACGCGATCCATGAACAACAATCAAACCTGACACCTCCCTTCAACACCTGAACTCTGACCCTAAACCTCACCTGGACCCTGCGGAACATAGGTCAACACTTAAACAGACGGGTTCTGCAGTGCCCGGGTTTAGACGTTTAGGGGCTGAGACCCTGTGAAGCCCTTTGGTGAAATTGCATCTCCGAGTTGCGGTCCAGCAGTACTGCTCCTGGCAAATCACAGGGCCTTGGAGGAACGTGGCTAGCACCCTTCGGGTTTCTTACGGCTTCCTTGGTTCTACACATCGTTGCCGGGTTTCTGCGAGGTACGCCTGAGAATTGCAACCCTAGTCCCGGCTCTGGGGCTGACGTAGCGCGGGGAAGTGATCAAAATTCTACACCCCCCTACCCTTGTCTGCGACCCCACTAGATCCAAAGCCATTGGCACACTCGAAGTACAGGTCAAAACACACCAGAATGATAACTTCCACACCCGGGCAGCTGTACCAGACCACAGTCCTGCATCAATCCTCAACCCCCCTAGAAATCCAGAAAACACCACACTTAAACGCCGCCGAGGTTGCAAGTCTCTCCGAGGGATACGCAGTACTCGTCGAATCCGGTGCCGCACCTGAGCGGCCATGGGACTTCACCGTTTGCTTTCTTTATCGTTGCTACCCTTCTGTTTGTTGCGCCTACCTGCTCTTCTTTGCTGCAATGGTGCCAACGAGTGCTGTCGCCAATGACGAACAAGAGGCCGACAACAAGACCCTTGGGAGGTAATCCCTCAAACCGTGAACCTCTGTAAAGCCATGATCCTTTAAGGCGCTTCGACCGACCGTTAAGCTCCAGGACTGCAGACACTGAGGCGATTACACCCATGATGAAGTCGATCGACTTGCGACGCCGAAATCCCTCAAATCCTGAAGCCAAACCCCTGTCAACCCTACAGCATTACGCTATCTTCAAGGCCTTCAAAGCTCCTTCAAGCCGCCAACAGAGAGGCCCCAGTAAAAGCATAACCACGGGTTGAATAATTTCACTGCGGTTTGGGGGGCTTTATGCCACAATGCAGGGGGTTTCTGGGAGTGGAGGTATTGGACAGACCCCGTGCCAAAAACCTGCGTACACTTCCATGCCTTTTCGAACCTCTCAGGAGCCCGTTGAAGAGGATACCATTGCAAACGGTTCCTAGGCCTTGGGATCCCTATCTGTTCAGACCCCGAGGCAGAAAATACTAATCTTTCAACTCCCTGCCGCCCCAACCCTACCCCCCCCTCCATCCCCTCCATCCCCTCCCCAAAACAAAAACACCGAGACTCAGCTCTAGGCTTCTGTGCGCTGTCGGCTTGGCAGATCACCGGGCAATGCCAGTTGTTGGCCTCGCCGTCCTCGCAGTAATCCTCCCAGAGCCTCCAGGAGCTTCCCTAGGGTTCTGCCCATAGGTCCAAAATCCGCCCTCGGACGATTGCCTGTTATCCTCCCTGTTTACTACTTGAATAAGGAGGGTGCTGTATGGGAGTCAGGAAAGCTCAAGCCGCAACTCCTCCTTGCCCAGCATTCCCCACAGCCCTACCTACAAACACCGGAGCTGAGACACATCAATCCGCTCTGGTCGAAGGAGACGATGGAGCAATACCTTGGTTCGGCTTGGGGTTCAGGGGTTGCTGGTTTGTAAGGTTTTTTTGGCGTGAATGGCTGAGGGCTTAAGCATGAGGATCAAAGACAGCAAGTACTCTTGCCACCGTCTTGTTTCCATCATTTAACTGACAGTTGCTGTTGCAGTGGTCTATTTCTGTGGCCGCGATGCACATAGCCCTGATTGCGAATATGGTTCAACTCAGGTTACCTGTTTCCAGTAGGGTTTGGGCGGCGATGCTTTTCAAACACATTGGTTTTGTCAACCCAGATGGATCCAACTGGGACTTATTCAAGCCCCTTTCTTGCGAAGAATTCGTACAAGGAATAACATCCCCTCACGATCCCTATATATGAGAACTGTGCCACAGTGTAGACCCTAAACCCAACTGTCATCACCAACGTCCCTTTGCCTCCGTCAGTATCGCTTCATTTCGGGTCCCCAGGAAGCACATAAATGCGGTAGGGATATCCTTGTAAAGTACGTAAATGCCTATGTGCGTCTTTGGGGCCCCGATCACTCGAGTTGGAGCTTTCCGGTTCCCTGGGGGCTGAGGCTTTGGGTCGAGATGCGCCTTTTCGCGGCTGAAGGTTCGTTTTCGGGGCTTTCGGTCGATTCAGTAGGGCCTCAGGAATCCCAACGGGGTCTTGGGTACACTGTGGCATACGCAGACACGGAATGTACTGGGATATGTGTATCAGGTATTCAGACCTCATGAAGACCCGGAGTCCTGTTCGCGAGCTGTGGTTGTTGGTGGAGAGTGGGCCTGAATCGGCCGATTTCGCATGTCGGAAACTTTCACACCTAACCAAACATCCTCAAACCCCTAAAGCCTGTAGCTCTGTATGAACACTGGCCGATTCCGAGCGACATCTGGTCGTGTCTGCATTCGAGCGGGCAGCCGTTGGGATAATATTCCTGAGAACGTGAGAACCACTATGCAGGGTCTTGCTCCAGCATTTGTCTTCTTAAGGGGGATTTTGGCCAGAGGGGCTCTTGTTGATCCACCTCTGAAGTATAAGGGCTTGAGTCAGGCCGCAGGTCGATTCTTTGGTAGTCCTGTGTTCAGGAGATCTATGCCTAAGCGTGACAGACAATGCTGTAAGGGTGCCGGCTTTGTGCGGAGAGCCCATGTCGACAACACCGAAGAAATCATGAGAGCTCATGGCCATTTGGGTTTTTGACCTCTCTTGCATGAGATGCAAAAGCCAAAGCAGGCAGCCGGAACTCGGATCCGGATCAGTCAGCATGGCAAACACAAACAAGCCTACCACAAAGCAGCCTTGTCTATGACAAGCCCGCGTGTTGCAATTTTGCAGTTGCCTGCTCTTTCAACGAGTCGCGATATTAATATGCTACGAGACGGATCTGGAAGACTTGATGCTCGAATCAACGTCAGCTAGCGTGGACCTTCAACGGTGGTGTGGCTCTGGGGTCTCTGGCCTGGTGACCGCAAGTAGTGGGGTCCTCAGTCAACTACCTGTGAGGTGCACATTCGCAAAAGCTCACGATGGAAGCTGTGAACAAAACAACCCTCCGCAACCAAAACGTGAAAGTGCTGAGAGCGAAGCGCTCGAGGCCCTTTAGGGTCCACCTTTGAGCGTACCCCCTCTGCCGGCCCAGATAAAGACGCCCGTATTAGGCAAGGAACACCCAGACCCGAAACGAAGCCCAGCACGTACCCGCAAATGAAACCCTCTTACCTAAACCCCGAACAACCGACAAGCCTTGCTGCGGAACCTGAAACATGCTTTTGCCGCGTCCTTCCAACCACGAGACTTGTCTGCCAAGTCTCTGCTGGGAAGCACTCCGTCAGCCCCGAGTCCTCTTCATCCGGCGGGCATATCGACAGATGAACCAGGCTTAAACTAAACGAACTTGGAGTGCCCGAGGCACCCCCGCGAAACCCGAAGCCGTTTCTATCGACCTGAGTTGAGGATTTGTTCCGGCTTGTCTAGACCAGGATCCAGCAAGCCAACACTGTCAATAACGGCGATACGACGTGAGGAAGGCTGAAACGTATGGTGGACTCAGAAACTCAAGATGCTTCCATAAATACTAAATCGCACCACCACCCCCCGATGTCCACGTTGGTGCAGCTGATCTCGTTGGACTCGCAAATGCAGCCGGTGTCGGTGGCACAGGACTCATTTCCTGGAGCACAGGGGGTTCAATGGCCGTCCGGCTCCATTCCGGCTGCGGGATGTGGGGCACAACACTTGAGCATACTGCGCGAGTCCTAACCGCCATGATGAGGATCATCGTTGATTGAACAGCTGATGTAGTCAGTATGCCAGGAACACTGCAATGGCTGCCATGGGGCAAGCTGCAGGACAATTACTATTCCCCCAGGCCCCGAACTCCAACTCGCCACGCAAACAAACGAACTCCTGCCCTCGACACTCCAACGAACTCGTGCCTGAAGCCTATCCTCGAGAATCCAAAGCCTCGAAGAAGCCGAGCTGCCAGACCAGTGCCAGCAGGTCCCCTTGTCGCCGCAATCCACCGGGCCTGGAAAAAGGCCAAGGCAGGTGATGGAAACTTGGGCGTAGTCTTCAGATATCAATTCGAAGTGTCGCTCTGGCTGCAGGCGAGCTGCACGCATGGTTGATGGATTCGCAGAAATGCACACCGGCGTAGGTGCACTTCTGCTCCCAGACCTAGGAAGTGCTCCGCAAAGCATGACCCGACCCTGGCCTAATCCTGTACGGTGCAACCTCAAGCCCAAATCCCAAAACGCTTAAAGGCAAGAATGGCTCAACATTTCTTGCGACGGCAGTTTTCGTGGACTGCGACTGCATGATGCTGCAACAACGACCGCCTTCTGAAGCGCGTTCGTGAAACATTACAGCATCCGTTTTCTTCTTGGGTCTTCACTTCTTCACTATCCCCATCCTTCCCCATGTGCAGAAAATTCCACAGCGCAGCCCAGAAGCAGCATCGCAAGGGCAACCTGGGAAGGGACACCAGTAAGGAAAGAACAGGTTCGCGAACCCTTCGCAAGCCAAAATGCAGTTCAGGGCTTGGGGGCCGAAAAGCCGCTGAGTGTGTTCTTGGGTTGCAGGAAATTCGGATTGAGCGGTGTTTTACGAGCTGGACCCTACATCGTGAAAAGAACAAGAAAGAGCCAACTCCTCGCGCCCAAAAAAGCTGCTGGTCTCTGTTTCTTTCGAAACACAACCTAAAGCTTGTGCGGATTCGGCTTGACGCCGGCTTTGTGCGCCGCACCCTTCATTTTTGACCTGGTCATACTGCAATTCGGAGCCTTGACGAGTGCGCAATGCTGCTTGCCGAAGCCATAAGCACGGCATGTCACAGGTGTGATGGTGAGATCGCTTGTGGCAAGCCCTGGTTTCAATCGGGCAGTTTCCAGTGTCCTGTCCGGGAGATTCTCGGCTCTTCTCCCGAACGCCTGAGAGAACAATATCCTGGACTTTGGGATTTGCTTACAACCTGACACCTGACAGTAGTTCTCATCGTGAACTGGTACGACCAAGGCTTGTGGAATTTGGGCAACGATTCGGTACGGCCTTTCTGCTGTTAAAGGGAAGGAGTGAACTCACGGGCTAGAGATTCCAGCTCTTCAGACCCGAGCAATGAGTGCTCGAGCACGCACGTGCTCTCTGCAGCCTAGCGAATACGTACACATTAGCTCCGCGAAACACTGCTCTCAGTATTGACACCGCCTAGCTTCTAAAGCCAGTTTTGTATATGCCCAAACAAACTCCGAGAATTGAACTTTTCAACATGCTACCATCGGGCGTGCTTTAAATCCTAATTAGACCCTACACGACCCTGAAGTGCTAAAGGCTTTACAGCGACAGTGTAAAAATCCTATAGAGCCTGTGTAAGTTCCTTACCAACCCTCATGTTACATCTTGACCAGTCAAGTGTCCGTCGACCGCTTCGGCGCAGCTCTCCGTCCAGCCTTCGTCGTCGATGGTGCCGTCGACCTTGGGCTACAGGAGGTTACCCAGGCGGAGCATCATTACTATCAGGAAACTGCTGATGATGAGGATTATGGCGACAACCACGCTGGCAGTCTGTGCGAGTGGCTGCAACGACGGCTGCTACCACTACTGCTACTGCTGC